TTATGTACAGTTCTCACATTACCAACGGCTTATATGATGTTGATCAAAACAATAAACATTACAAATTTTTCTATATGATGTAAAAGTAGTCAAAACCCATGACAACAACAGTGTTGCTCCTTTTTGCTGTAACAAACAGCTTCTTCTTCTTCTTCTTCTTCTTCTTATTATTATTATTATTATTATTATTATTATATTAATTATTATTATTATTCATTCATTCATTTTGTTTTCAGCTTAGTCCCTTTATTAATCTGGGGTCGCCACAGCGGAATGAACCGCCAACTTATCCAGCATTGTTTTTTTACGCAGCAGATGCCCTTCCAGCTGCAACCCATCTCTCGGAAACATCCACACACACTCACTCACACACATACACTACAGACAAATAAGCTTAGCCAATTCACCTGTTGCACATGTGTTTGGACTGTGAGGGAAACCGAAGCACCCGGAGGAAACCCACGCCCACACGGGGAGAACATGCAAACTCCACACAGAAACGGCAACTGACCCAGCCGAGGCTCAAACCAGCGACCTTCTTGCTGTGAGGCGACAGCACTACCTACTGCGCTACTGCGTCACCATTATTATTAATAGTTTTATTATTATTATTACTAGTATTATTACTATTTATTACAGATTTATTTTTTCGTCTTATTTTGTGTTAAAAAACCTTCTGAAATCTTTTTATTTTAATTTTTAACACAAATTAAGATGAAAAAAATAAACGAATTAAGAATTAATAATTAATAATACAGGGTGGGCCATTTATATGGATACACCTTAAAATAAATTCATGAATAAAATTAATAAAAACAAATAAAATGGGAATGGTTGGTGACTTTAACGGCCTGTTTGTGGCACATATGTGAGCGGTCTTGTGAATAACTCAGGAAATAAAAAAAATTACGTTTAGAACCAAGCACTCCATTGTTTTTCTTGTGAAATTCCCAATATGTGTATTAAGGTGTATCCATATAAATGGCCCACCCTGTATGATTAATATGTTGTGGAAAACCTGATGCGGCCCAGCCTCACCCAGACTCTGCCTCCAGCGGCCCCCAGGTAAATTGAGTTTGAGACCCCGGGTTTAGATGTTTGTTATCAGGTTTTAAATTTTGATACGCCGCAGTTTTAAAAGTCCTGTGAAGTGCTTTGAAATGAGCATTTTTTGTTCAATATGTGATACAGTCTCAACTGAAACATGAAGAGAGGGTGGGGCATAGAATAGCTCCTCCCCTTTAAAAAAAAAGCCAATAGTGTTTAGTTTTTCTCACAGCTCTTCAGTGAGGGTGGTCGAGCTCAAGCACATCAAATAAGCAGCCAACGAGAATAAGTGGGAGGGGCATGTCAGACACTACAGAGCATTTGATTGGTCAGAAGATTTGATGAGGTGGTGTGAATAAAATCCTTGATCCATTTAGGAGCAAGAGACAAACTGCAAGCTTTGGACCAGGTTTATATCTTCTAAATGTGAGTGTAGTCATCTGTTTTGGTGTGCATCAGATTATAAGTATCCTAAAAACATGCTGACACACAAAACGCATTTTTAACTCCACAGGAACTTTAAAGAGCAGTTGTTTTGACTGAAATAATTGCACTTTTTCCCCCTAGTAGATTAAAAGCACCAAGTAGATGATAAAGCACAGCAGGTCTTTGAGCTTCAGCTTGAGAAGTCTTCTGAAGTGTTACGACAAACAGAGCAAAACCGCTTTAGGTTCTTCAGGGGCTCATTAGCATATGCAGATACACACACTCCTCCATTACTGAAATGCTGCTAGTGTTGTTATTATTCAGGGTACAGGAATGTTCGTCGTCTGCTCGCACTGTGACCTTGAGTAAAAGCTCTTAAAAGGCAGTGTTTCTCCGTGTGGATCGTTTCTGTAATGCGTTTATGATGCCGCTCTGTGAAGCGTCCCATAAAAGCTTCTCGGGCCCCTGAATATCGATCACGAGTGCGATATTGCTTTTATTACACAGCTCTATATGAAGAAGTTAATATCGAGCGGCATTTCCAGCGCAGGATGAATGGCTGTTTGATTTTTTGCTTCGCCAGCAAAACGCTTTACAATGTTGAGAGCTGTACAATTATACAGAGTTTCAGTGAATGTACTGGTTAAGTCTAAAGTATTAGTCCTTCTGAAGTATTATTGTACTTGTGTCCCTAATTTCTGTTTCAGAATTGTTTCAGCACATTTCCAATCATAATAGTTTTAGTAACTTATTTCTAATGACTGAATTATTTTATCTTTGACATGATGACAGCACATAATATTAAACCAGATATTTACTAGTGTTCAGCTTACAGTGACATGTAAAGGCTTCACTAGGGTAATTAGGGTAAAGTTAGGGTAATTAGGCAAGTCATTGTATAACAGTGGTTTGTTCTGGAGACCAGGGGCCTCATGTATCAACGCTGCGTACGCACAAAAACTTTGCGTACGCCAGGTTTCACGCTCAGAATCGCTCACATTTGGATTTACTAACGATGAAGTTGACGTGGGAATGTGCGCAGGTTCACGGCAGCTTCATGGCTGGCGTACGCACATTTTTTGTGCGTGTCAGTTTTATTTCCATTGGCGACTCCTAGAGGCAGTTGTGTTAAATTGCTCTCTACAAAGTGTCTGAGCCTTGCATTGGCAGCTGTATGAGACGGGTTCATCTAGCAGGTATATAAGGTTTCCATACCATACAGTTGATCAGCCAAACATTAAAGCACAATTTGCAGCGGTCGCCTGTTTTCCCAATGTAATCTGAGCGATCTACTGCACGCACATTGCTATAAAGACACTATCTGAAGATGAATTTGCATACGTGAATCAGAAACATTTCCATTCAATAAATGTGCAAATAAACTTGCAAATAACACCGCTTTTCTCCGGTCTACCTCCAAAAGCAGCACCTTCAATTCACATTCTGTTCAAAGTTTCGCTTCTTGCTGGCTTTTGCCGTTGCTTTTTGTTGGGTTTTGCCAAAGTAGAGTCATTAGCATATTCATACGGGGGAGGAAGCAGGGAGGGGTTTTGTGCTCGTACATGTTGCGCTCAGTTTCACGTTCATTCGGATGTACAAAAGAATATGCGTGAGATTCAGCGTACGCAGTGTTTGATACATCTGAATTTTTTCTGCGTACGCACATTTACAGCTTTGTGCGTACGCTATGCTTTAGTATGATTTCCACGCAAGTCTTCGTGTGTGGATTTAAAAAGGGATAGTGAAATGTATAGGTGCAAAATGTTGTGGTACCCTTCACAGTCTGTTTTGACACATTCGAGCATGAACTCGGTTCGAATCCAGCGTCTACATATCAGATTTTGCCTATACTATTAATCACGAGAAAGACAAGTAGGAATCATTAATAAGTTTGTGCATCATATTTTATTTGCACATTTATTGAATGGAAATGTTTCTGATTCACGCATGCAAATTCATCTTCAGATAGTGTCTCTATAGCAATGTGCGTGCAGTAGATAGCTCAGATTACATTGGGAAAACAGACGACTGCTGCAAATTGTGCTTTAATGTTTGGCTGGTCAGCTGTATGGTATGGAAACCTTATATACCTGCTAGATGAACCCGTCTTATACAGCTGCCAATGCAAGGCTCAGACACTTTGTAGAGTGCAATTTAACACAACTGCCTCTAGGAGTCGCCAATGGAAATAAAACTGACACGCACAAAAAATGTGCGTACGCCAGCCATAAAGCTGCCGTGGAGCTGCGCACATTCCCACGTCAACTTCATCGTTAGTACATCCAAACGTGAGCGATTCTGAGCGTGAAACTTGGCGTACGCAAAGTTTTTGTGCGTACGCAGTGTTTATACATGAGGCCCCAGGGGCGGACTGCGACTAAAATCAGCCCTGGCACTGTAGCCACACCAGCCCACAGGTGTGGGCATGTGGAAAACAGGAAATGCCATTACTACAACCATTTTAATACACTGTAAAAAATGGCCATGATTTCAACGGTAAAAAACTGTAAAAATGCTACAGTACAAATCTGTAACCTGGTTAACGATATGCTTCCTTAATATATACGGCGAATAACCGTAAATTGACTTTCCCAGAATTCCCCGTATGGCACATCACTTTTTATGCATTTGGTTGACATTAATATGGATATATTTAGTTGCTTCCCCATCAGTTATGTACATCAGAGATTTATGATACATCTAATGTTGATAAACAATGTTGATTTCATGACTTTAATTTTATGCGTGTTACCAAACTGGTGTTTAGTAGCTGTGTGAATGACACTGATCACCTTCTATATGCTGATACACTTTCCTGCTTGTGGGAAGAGTTCATTGTGATGAGCTTTGGCTCATTATGTAACTCTCATCACCACCTGCATGTGGGCGTGCTAACGTGTCTAACTGTGTAACAAAAGATGTGTAGATGTTGATCATTCAAAATACAGACATATTACCTCGATAAATAAAAAAAATACGGTAATTTACGTAAAAATGAAAAATTACTTTTACGGTTTGTACCGTTTTTTTAACGGTAAAATACTGGCAACCACAGCTGCCGTTTTTTTACCGTAAATTTTACGGATTTATTTTGTACAGTGTATGACTTGTTTAATAATGAATTCTAATAATTACAGTGTAATATTTTAGTTAATTTTAAGCGCGTGGCCCACCTTCAGGATCGCTGAGGCCCACTAGTTGAGAATCCCTGTTCTACAGTATGTCAAACCAGAAATGTTGTGAATCCATCACTATGAAAGCTCTCTCCTGAAAGCGTGTGTGTACTCGTGTAGCTCTGCCGTCACCTCTGCGGTTAATTTTATGCCCTTCTAAATATAAAGGAGTGTGAAGTTGTGTTTTCAGGTCAGCGATATGGAGAGAACCTCCAGCCTCAATTCCAATTTGTTAGCAGAAGCAATGATGCAAGTGTGTGTCACCTAATTAGAGCTTATATGAGCTGCATCTTCTGGATGGTGTCCAGGGCTTTGCTGTGTGGTTGCCAGGGTGTTTGGGAGGGTTTCTAAGTAAATCCAAGTCTGTAGGTGCGTCCCATTATGTGCTTGTGCACTGTTCTACGCCATACCTGCCAATATTTGTCTTCAAAAGACCTTGGAGGTCTTTAATTTAATATTTAAAATATATAATATATATCGGTGACACGGTGGCACAGTAGGTAGCACAATCGCCTCACAGTAAGAAGGTCGCCTCGGCTGGGTCAGTTGGCGTTTCAGTGTGGAGTTTGCATGTTCTCCCTGTGTTCGCGTGGGTTTCCTCCGGGTGCTCCGGTTTACCCCACAAGTCCAAAGACATGCGGTACAGGTGAATTGGATAGGCTAAATTGTCTGTAGTGTATGTGAATGAGAAAATAACGCCTTAATATAACCCCTACACAAGTACACCACTGGCGTCTCTCAGCCTTTACTGTGGCTACCGCTTTGAACAGGAGCTTCTAAAGTAAATCCTCATCCATCATCTCTGCTCCTCTCTGTTTTTCAGACCACCTCAGGAGAAGACATGCGGGATTTCACCAAAGTCTTAAAAAACAAGTTCCGCTCGAAAAAGTATTTCGCCAAGCACCCTCGCCTGGGGTACCTGCCCGTCCAGACGGTCCTCGAAGGAGACAACATGGAAACGTAAGCGTCTCGGTCTTCCAGCGAAAAGCTTCTTTGTGTGTACAGTATAATATCTGTTTGTTTCAGCTGTCCTCAGGCTCTCTTTTCTCCTTCTGCCGCCTGCAGTCATTATCTTTCTCCAGCCAGAGAGCTTTCACAGCCTCCACGTAACGAGATTATTCACATTGTCACGAGTGTTGAGAAGTGTGAAGAGCGGCCCACTTCTATTCACAGCAGAACTCTGCATACGGTTGAAGTCAGAATTATTCGCCCTCCTGTTTATTTTTCAAATATTTCCCAAATGATGTTGAACAGATTCAGGAGTTGTTCACAGTGTTTCCTCTAATATTCGTATTTCTGGAGAAAGTCTGATTTGTTTTAATTCGGCTAGAATAAAAGCAGTTTTTTTTTTTTTTAAAGCCATTTTAAGGTCAATATTATTCACCCCTTTAAGCTGTATTAGTGTTGGATTGTCTCCAGAACAAACCACTGTTATACAATGACTTGCCTAATTACCCTAACTTTACCCTAATTACCCTAGTGAAGCCTTTACATGTCACTTTAAGCTGAATACTAGTGTCTTGAAGAATATCCAGTCATCTAGAAATGAGTCTAAATAAAAACTATTATGTGTAGAAATGTGTGGACAAAATCTTCTCTCTGTTAAACAGAAATTGGGGAGTAAAATATACATATATAATAATTCAGACTTCAACTGTATGCTGTATATATTTCTCATTTCTGCAGATGTATGAATGGCTTGATATAGAGCAGGGATGTCCAAACTACGGCCCGCGGGCCATCTGCTTTTTATAAATATTAATAGAATCTGGCCCGCTATACAAAAATGAACGTAATTCAACAAATAACCACCGGTGTCGCTATGACGCACCTTTAATTAGGCAGCAGTTCCTGTAATAAAGCAAAACGAACCGAACAAACTTAAGGAAACATAATTAATAATCACGTTTTGGCGAGCCATGGCACAACCAAGAAAAAGGAAAATCAAGAGTGAGAGCGAGAAATTTTAGTCACGTTGGGGCAAAGAATATTTCTTTACAGTGGTCAGTTTTTTCATGCTAATAAAGTGCAAGAAAATTCTACGCTGGCTAGTTATGCACAGGAAAGCCTTCACTGAAGGAGAATTTATATAGGAGTGTCTGATGAGTGTTCCAACTGTAATTTGCCTAGAGAAGATTCACGATTTTAAAAACGCAAGTTTTTCTAGAAACACAGTTGAAATAATTAAAATAATTCCATAATATACACACACACACACACACACACACACATGCATATATATATATATATATATATATATATATATATGCGTGTCTGTGTGATGTATGTAAAATTTGGCCCGGGACGTTTTTTTTTTTGTCCAAAAAAGTTTGGACACCCCTGATATAGAGTATGTGTGAAACTACATTATATTCCAGGTCAAATGAGGAAAAAACACCTGATATATATCTCAGCTCACCATACATGTCACTGTCTGCTGCTTAAAAGATGAAATGATTCAGAATGCCAAGGCTAGCTCATTGTGTAATACAAAAACTGAGATGCTGAGGCATGTTTTTATGCATCACTTTCATAAAGACTTGAATATTTTTTAATATAACCAGCTTCTAATGGTAAAAATGTAATAATTCTATTTTTTTTTTTAATCGCACTTTGATCGACATTCCCTCTTTGTACGTGTCTTCTGAGATGCACCACTAGATTGAATATTAAAAAAAAGATTATAAGCTTATCGACTTAAGGGCAGGACATAGTTTTGAACACTGGGTTGTTGTTTATTAGCTCAAATATAAATTTCAGGTCATTTTTGACCCCAAATATTATGGACGGCAGCTTGAAAAGTCTTGTCGCCTATCAAAGTTTTAGGAACAACAAATAACAGCTGGACTTCTAGTTGATCATTTATTATCAGAAGTGGCTTATATAAAAGGCAAAGGCCTCTAGATTACAATTATTTGACCAAAATGCCTTGATGTTGACTGATTTCATCTGGAATGGCAAAGAAAGCCTTCTTGCAGGACTCCCAGAGTTCATCAAGAGTCTTTGTGTTCATCTTCAACGCCTCCTCCTTCATCTGCTCAATAATGTTGATATCTGGTGACTGGGCTGGCCAATCCTTGAGCACTCTTTGCTTTCAGGAGCTTTGATGTGGAGGCTGCAGTATGAGAAGGAGCGCTATCCTGCTGGAGAATTGTCCCTCTCCTGTGGTTTGTAATGTAGTGGGCAGCACAGATGTCTCGATACCTCAGGCAGTTGATGTTGCAGATCTCTCGCACGCCCCCCATACTGAATGTCACCCCAAACCATGATTTCTCCATCACCAAACTTGACTGAATACTGTGAGATTGGCTCCATGCGGGTTCCAGTAGGTCTTCTGCAGTATTGGTGATGATTGGGATGCAGATCAGCAGATGACTCATGGGAAACTTCGACCTTCTGACACTTTTACAAATGATCAACTAGAAGTCTGAGATCCACGATAAGACTTTTGTCATGTAGTGTTTATATAATGCAGTTCGTTTTTAATTGATATTTTAGCTCTAGTGTGCTGTAAGTCATTCAGTTTGCTTCAAAACACTTTTTTTTACCGCCATGCAGCTGTTTCATTTCTGCAAGACTCTGAGACTTGTATTTTTTTCATGCAGCAGGTTGGAAATCCTGACTTTGAATCGAACGATACGCCGCATTAGTAATCAAGCCACCAGCCTCAGACACTGCTGCTCCTACACCTTGAGCACACATCTGCTCACCATGTCCACGTGTCTCGCCTTATAGAGCAGATTTTCTGCCTGTGCAGAAATGTTGAGCATCCCCGCATCACTCCAGTGTCATCATCTGCACTCTCTTTCAAGTGTCAACTGAGGATTATTTTGCTGCAGGGCCAGATGTGACAAACTTAATTTGTACTTTTCGTTCACCAACTTTAGAAATGTACCCAACTAAAGCCGAGTGTACATGGTGCAACCTTTATGCACACTTCACCAGTGAGTTCATGTGAGATGTGTTCGTGCTCAGTGATATAAAGTCAGAATTGTTCACCCTCCTGTGCTTTTTAAATGATGTTTCACAGAGCACAGTGTTTGTGATAATATTTGTTCTTCTGGAGAAAGTCTTGTTTTATTTTGGCTAGAATTAAAGCAGTTTTTAATAGTTTTAAAGCCATTTTAAGGTCAATATTATTCACCCCTTCATCAATATTTGCTTTGCATTGTCTCCAGAACAAACCAGTTATACAGTGACTTGCCTAATTACCCTAACTTTACTCTAATTACCCTAGTGAAGCCTTTACATGTCACTTTAAGCTGTATAGAAGTCAAATATTATTTACTGTCATCATGGGAAAGATGTATAGATTCTCGCTACATCCGAACCGCTCCAGAATTCGTTTTAATCAAATCGGGACCTCATTCAGCCGATCTCTGATCGATGGTTTTTATGCAAATCCGAGCACGATTGCATTTTTTACCTATGCCCAAACCAACCGAGCTGAGGGGGCAAACGCGTCAGTGGCCGGTTGCATAAAAGTAACTCAAGAGTGGAAAAATCCCTGGTGTTAGAGATTTCATTAGGAGTGTTGCAACAAGCTTCTTAACTTTCACCGTTATCTAATGCCGAGATCAGACTGCATGTTGTAGCCCTGATTTTGACTCGCCGACAGGTTTTCAGAAATAGCTGACAAATGCCCAAAATCACAGGCAAATCGGTGCTCGTTTACAATATTTACAATCACACAGTGTAAACTATCAAAGACGAGATCTGAGAGAATCACCGATAAGTCGCAAATGTGAAATATTGGGCATGCTGAATATCTGGAGCTGTCAGCAATTCAAAATCATGCCATGTGAAATGTGTTCTGATTGAAAATAACATCAGCGATCGCCTACAGCCAATAAGAGAGCAGCATTCACTTGTGTGGGTACCTGAAGGCCAGCGGGAGGTTGGGGGAGAAGATAAAAGCGCTCATTTTGAGTTTATTTGGACCCCAGAAATGGAGGAAAAACTTAGTTTCTCAAAAACTCTGGGGTAGTGTGGACGGAAGACATAATCGTAGCCAAACTTATGCACTTTAAAACTAAAATGTATTAGTGTAAGCGAGGCCTTAATGGCAGCCTTAAACTCCTTGGGGCCCTATCATACACCCGGTGCAGTGTGGCGCAAGATGCGGCGCAATAGTCTTTTGGTAGTTTCAGCTTGGCGCAAGAGTGGTTTTGAGGCGTTGCGCTACGCTGTTTAAATAGCAAATTCATTAGCGCTCATTTGTGCGCTCATAGGCGTTCTGCTCTAAAAAGGGAGGCGTTCTGAGGCGCACTGCTGGCGCGTTGCTATTTTGAGAGACTATAATAGATTTTTCATTAGACCAAAACAAACCCGGTCTAAACTCCAGCGCAGAGTTGCACCTCGCTTACACACTGCTTAATACACACAAGAGAGCAATAGGCAAATATCTTTACATATGAAAACATTAAAATATTAAGGATATATATAGGATATAATAAGAATAGATATAGAATATAAATATAAAGGATTAAAATATTACAAAACATATTATTTTCTAGCCTACATACATATGAAAAACCACTGCTTTTGTGTCTTCTTCATCTCGGGAGGCTTTTTCAGTTCATTCATAACAATTTGCTTTTGTATAATGTTATTATTATTAGCAGTGTTATTTATTATATCCATATTTATATTTGTTTTATTAAAACAAGCTTAGATTTGCCCACCTGTCAGGTTTTAGACCATATGGGGCACAGCATGTGTTTTAGGATATAACTCAGGTTTTTGAGCACATTTTGTTATTATTATTCATTTATTCGTTTGCTGGAAATTAGAAATGAATTTAGAAATAGTTTTGAAACGAATATTTGCGCTTAACAAGCAAAATTAATTATTTATAGACTAACTGATGTCTGTGCGTAAAGGTTTCCCTATCTAAGAGCGAAAGTGAAAGTAGATTCATTATCTCTCATTCTCGCGCAGTAGATGCTCTGTTTAACAGT